ACCAAAGTTTCCAGAACCACTTCCACCTCTTTGGCTGGATGAAGCACTGGCCACCTCTTGCTTAGATAGGGTTTTCCTTACTTCACAGTTGTGACCATTCACAGTATGGGATTTTTGAATGACCATCTTGTCTACAGAGTCATGGTCATCAAATGTTACAAAAGCCAAACCTCTCTTTTTGCCACTGCCTCGGTCAGTCACGATCTCGATCACTTCAATTTTCCCATACTGTTCAAAATAATCTCTTAGATGATGTTCTTCAGTGTCTTCTTTAATGCCACCAACACAAATCTTTTTCACAGTTAAGTGGGCACCAGGTCTTTGAGAATCTTCTCTTGAGACAGCCCTCTTTGGTTCCACAACTCTTCCATCCACCTTGTGTGACCTTGCGTTCATGGCTGCATCCACTTCCTCCACAGTGGCATACGTGACAAACCCAAAGCCTCTGGAGCGCTTGGTGTTTGGATCTCTCATTACCACACAGTCCGTAAGCGTTCCCCATTGCTCAGAATGGCTCCTCAGACTCTCATCGGTTGTTTCAAAGCTCAAACCTCCAATGAAGAGCTTCCGCAGCTGTTCAGGCTCTTTGGGAGACTCTGACTTAGACATGACAGCGATGGGAGGGGAGACTTGAAAGATGCTTACTCTGCAGCATCCAGGGGCAGAAAGGAACAAGGATACATTTTTGGTAACATCTTATATCCTGGTGGTAATTTGCAAGAGCACAAGGAAAACTAATTATTTTAGGAACCTCAAAGAGTGTATTGTGAAATACTATGCAACTGACTTCCTTCATGAAGTGTAATCTGGCTGTAATGATGATAACCTGCTTAATTATTAGTAAGATTATGGAATCTGAGTGTTACTTTTAAAGAAGTAGACCTAATTGTTTTGCTAATTGTAGTTCATATATGAAATTTTATGTATGAGAGGTCAGTTTAGCATTTTAAATTCCACAAACAAACAAAACACCATAAGTAACTATTTCTGCTAAAAACTTAACTATTCGGTCCTTTGTCATTTCTATTTTACTGCTATAGAAAAAAATTTTAACTGCCTCTTTAGTATCAAATATTGTCCATGGGATAGCAACAAAAACAATTACCATTATGAGAAAATAAAAGTGGAAATTAAATTATGTGTATAACTAGGCATATTGGGGTGCCTGGGTGGGCTCAGTCAGTTAAGCGTCCAACTCTTGATTTTGGTTCAGGTCATGATCCTCAGGGTTGTGAGATTGAGCCCCATGTCTGGCTCCGCAATAGAACCTGCTTGGGAGTTCCTCCCTCTGCCCCTCCCCCCCAGAAAAATGTATGTATAACTAGGCATATTGAAATATGGTGTATTTATAAAATAAGTGATAAAATTTTGTGAATAAATCATTGGAATTGCAATCTAATTTCTATAAATATAATATTTGATGTTAATGTACCAGTGTAGAGCTAGTAACACTTGTTATTAGAAAATCAGTCTCTTAGTCACAGTCATGGCTAAGATCACTACATTCAATTTAGTATTCCAGCTATTTAGGCCTAGGCTTTAGGAAGCAAGGGAGAAAAATTATTAAAATGGGATTTCTTTTTAATACTATCTTTTAATTCTTATGTTATAGGTGAATCCTTATGACAAGCAGTTTGTGTTGGTCTCTAATAGCTGTACTTCCTTGGAAATAATCCAGTTATGATTTTATCCTATATAGAATTTATGTAAGAGTTATAGCAAAACCCCCATAAGAATATTTTCACTGATTGGAAAAAATGATTTTAATTCTGTTATGTTTTCTCTTCAGAAACGAATTTCATGATATAGCAAGAAAAAACAAAAAATAGTTTTATATACACACAGAAATCACATTTTTATAGCCTTAAATCCATTAAGATAAACTCCATACACAAGTTCTCTATAAACAAGTAATATGTAAATATATTTATGCCTTTATAATTGTGACTTAAAATATAATTATATACTGCAACTGGTAGTAAATCTTTTAAGTGCAATCTATATTATACTTGATCAACCCCTTATATGTATAAAATGGTAGTGATTAATTGCTAAGTTAGCACCAATTCAAAAAATGATATCAAGATAAAAAATCAAGTCTGTTCTTAAACAACTGCTGTTGATTCATCAAAACCCATTTTTCTTTTTCCCTCTTTTCATTCCAAGAAATTCCTTTATTGGGAACTCACATCAGTATTGCTCTCTGAACACTTAGACTTCTCTCTCTCTTTTTTTTTTAATTTATTTATTTGACAGAGAGAGAGCAAGCACAAGCAGGGGGAGTGGCAGGGAGAGGGAGAAGCAGGCTCCCCACTGAGTAGGGAGCCTGATGCGGAACTCAATCACGGGACTCCAGGATCATGACCTGAGCCGAAAGCAGACGCTTAACCGACTGAGCCACCCAGGCGCCCTGAACACTTAGACTTCTCTCTTTGATCTCTTCTTTTGGGACAGTGCTTTTCAAACTGTAGGTTATAGCCTCATGTAGGTTGTGAAATTAATAATGAATTTTAATAGAAGAGAAAATATTAGACTGCATTCCATATAGTCAGGTTGAAGGATTAAATATATCTCCTGTGTATACTGGGTCTCAATGTAAAGATCCTTGGTGCTCCAACTAGGAAGTTAATGCTGTTAAAGGTAAATACTTCAGTTTGTTTGTTTGTTTGTTTTTTAAAGATTTATTTATTTATTTGACAGAGACAGCGAGAGAAGGAACACAAGCAGGGGCAGAGGGAGAGGGAGAAGCAGACTCCCCGCTGAGCAGGGAGCCCAATGCAGGGCTCGATTCCAGGACCCTGGGACCATGACCTGAGCAGAAGGCAGACGCTTAACCGACTGAGCCACCCAGGGGCCCCAGATACTTCAGTTCTGTGTGATTGTCTCATACATCCCTTCCATGTTGAATTTCTATAAAGACAGTGTATACTGTATTTATCACACTTTGGCCATATCTGACCCTCATTGCTAAATGTTTCCTTTATCATCCTTTCTTTTTTTTTTTTTTTTTTTTTTTTTTT